GACTCCGTGTGTGTGTGTGTGTGTAGGTAGGTAGGTAGTTGGCTAAATTAGGATCCCTTTGAGGGTCCTTTCAAAAGGGTGCCGTACTATATTGGGCGCCTGAAAAGGGAACCTAGTTTAGAGAACTAGTCATATAGTACCTGTATTATAGGGGCCTAAACAATTACCTATACTATTTTGGGGGGGTTCCTTGTTACAGTTATAGTATAATATACCCCAAAACCCTATTCTAAGTTTAAGGCCCCTTTTTTGGTCGTAAAGGGTCTTAAATGTATTTTTGGTTAAACCAAAAAAAGAACTACAATGGAGACTATAGGTATAAAGTCCATACTATACTTTGGCCGGCAGGGTCACTACACAAGATAGGTGCTGTCGCGTCATGGGATATACATGTATATACCATATGCACATGGATCCTAAGAGAGCGATCACAGACACAGGCATAGCCACCATCCTTTAGCCTTGGACCAATCCGAACAACATTCGAAATCCTACTCTTAAACGACTAAAACCGAAAGCTAAAGCCTGGGCCAGAAGAAGCACGGCCCGAAGCCCCAGAAACCATGAACACGTGTATGCTGAGTTCACAACAATTCGGCCTGAGCCTTACACCTGGCAGACCCAGTCAGCTCTGACGCAGAAGTATGCCAACGGCAAGCCCCGCACCCTCAACCCTAAACCCTAAACCCTAAACCCTAAACCCATCAGACATGCAACAAAGATCAGCTTTTGTCTAAGCGCGCGCTGGTCCAGTCTGTCCCAGAATGTCGGTCGCAAGTGGCGGGGAGGACCCTCGTTTCTACAAGGGATTGAAACCCGAGTACTACCCCTAGGGGGTACCCTTCTAGAACCCCTTACAGGAACCTTTGCTAGTGTTTACGGGGGTCTAGGGTTTAGGCTTCTGTAAAGTATTCATGCTAGAATCTATGCTATAGTATACCCCAGAACCCTATGCCAATGATTCAGGCTGCTAAACTGAACTGTAGGAGCACTGGTGTGTAAAGCGCCAGTCAGAGCAGACTAGGCTTCAGGCTTCGGGACGTGGGCTGTGAAAGGTGCAATGCCGTAACCCTCCCAAGGAACTTTTAGGTACCCTTACTTAAAAGGATCATGGGACTTAGTAAGTAGGGTTAAAACTAAGGTAACTGTACTTATAGCCCCAATTAGAGGACTTATAACCTTACTTTCTAAGTCCCATGATCCTCCAAGTACCAGGGCCACAGACCTGAACTTGTCCCCGCAAGGACGCATCCCTTGTCTGCCCCGCTCCAAAAAGAATATAGTCAGCTCCTCAATCGTAGCATGCCCCCAATAAGCAGCCCCCAAGAAGCTCTGAACGGTACGGTTGATGCTATAAATCCTGCATTACCCAGAAAAGGAATATGCCATAATTCCCATAGTTTCGGGTCCATAACATAATGCAGGAATTATACCATCAACACTAGGAACACGTTTTGGTAAACTCTAAACCCTATACCCTGAAGCCTAAAGCAGAAGAAGCGAGTGATAGGAACTCTTTGAGGAACTCGCGAGAGGAACATACCACCTAGTACATCTCTGTTACTGTAGGGGCCTTAACACTTAGAGTAGGGTCTTGGGGCTCATTATACTATAAGTATAATAAGGAAGTCCCAAAATAGAATAGGTAATTATGAAGGCCCTTATGTTAAAGTTCTTAAAAAACCCTTTCAAGAACCTAGCACTTTACAGTACGCTGAGGGTCCAAGTACCTTTTAATCACATACTCTCCCACATATTAGCTTGCAGAGCTCCTATCCTAAACCCAAGTACCGAGTTGTGAGGTCCTTTTGACCCTTAGGGGTAGTTCGAAGTTACAACCCCAAAATCCCAAAACCCTAGCCTAAACCCTAAAACCCCTAAAACCCTAAAATCCCCAAAACCCTATCCTAAACCCTAAACCCTAAACCCTAAACCCTAAACCCTAAATCTTAGTAAGTAGACTCTGAGGAGGAGGGCAACAGTTCGTCCAGCCGGCAGTTTCCACGACTTCGGCCTCGGGAGGGGGAGCTGCATGCCTCTTGGTACCTCCACGCTTCAGGTTTAGGTTTAGGGCTTATAAGGTTTAGGGTTTATAGGTGTCTAGGGCCAAGGAGTAAGGTCTCGAGTTTAGGGTCTAGGGTGTAGAGTGGCATTTGGGGTCAGGAAGAGCAAAAGCAAGGTTTTCGGGTGTTTGAATCATACGGAACTCGGTTGAGAGACCCTGCTCACCAGTAGCTTGGAACCCCCTTTTGTACTGACAGTCCCTAAACCCAAAAAACCCTAAATGGGAGTTTCCGAAA